TTGGGGAGTAAAGGGTGGGGAAGGCAGTGCACTTCCTCTTTTAACATCCAAACCCTTGGGAAAATTAAGGGCACTTGCAGATGGTGTCTTGCTTTGGTCATACTGTTTTTCTCCTTACACCTTGCAGAGAGGTCAGCTGGGAGACAAAGATTGCTCCGAGGGTGGCAGGTAATTTGGAGGCTCAGGCTCAGGCTGGGTTGGGGGAGGATAATGCAGGGACCCTTTGAGGATCTGAGGAGAGAAAGAGATGGAAAGTGCCCAAGAAGGGAGAACCTCAGAAGCAAATCCTGCTGTATCACAAAAAACTTTGCTTCAGACACACACATTCTCTGTGTGTGCCTGTCATGTTTCTAAGGAAGGGACAATCATTTATAAGATTGTTTCTATAATAAAACTTGCTGTCGCTTCAAGTCAAGCTACTTTCAAAGGAGGTTTGGTGACATCATAGCCTCTTACCTCAAGGGCTGTGTTTATTTCTGAGCTCTGCGGCTCATTTGTACCCTCATAAAGTGACTGTTGAGTAGGTCTCAGGGTGGACTGGATATGATTGTGAGATGGAACTATATTGCTTCTTAAACTTTATATAAATGATTCACCAAAGCTTTAAATACATAAATCACACTTTTTTTGCATTTTGGCAAAAAAAAAAAAAAAAATCTGACCCGTACTTTGACTTCTGAAAAGTCAGAAGTGTAAGTAGAGAGAGTGAAGGAAATACGTTTCTTCCTTTTGGAGGAAAAATTCAGTCGTCTCACCCTTCCCAGCAAAATAACACAGAGAAGATGACATTTGTTCCGGTTATGGAAAATAATTCTGGCAAGTTCAGTACAACTAAGATGTAAATGTATTAATGATTGGAAAATAGTTGTTTGGAAAAAAACAGAACCACATTTGGGGCCTCCTCATCTCTGTGATACCCACACAAAATGGTTAACAGAATTCCTGGGCCTGCTTAAAACCCACTAGGTTTAAAGACCCTGAGGTTGGCAAACTCAATTTACTGCCTCTGTCCTTAGCCTCTAACACCTGTTGTAGTGCGCCACCTACTGGTTCTACTTAAGACTGCGGTCAGTGTTGTGTACTAGATTTCCTCAGCCTTCGTATTTTATTGAGCATTCTTTTCAAAGGATGGCAGTATCCCCACAGCATGAGTGGCCCAGGTGTAACAAAAGCCACTAAGTTCTCATTCTTTCAGTACATAAGTTTTACGGAAGGCACCTTGGAGATACTGCAGTCACTGTTCCGACTCTAGACCAAAACCTAAAGACAAGGTCAGTACCAGTAGTGCAAGTGGTCTCTTCAGAGAGAGGCACAGTAGTTACAGAGTGTAGATTTTTTCTGCAAATAAACAAATGCCTGATTTGTGTTTAATGTGTCCTATTCTCTTCCTAAATTTGGTTTCTTTCTAGCTTAGCTTCTCTCCCTTGTTACTGAACGTTATGATTATAGTTAATAACTTTTAAAAATTGGCACACAGATGTGTGTAAAGCTGTCCCACCTCGTCTTATTAACAGCTGAGAGCGTACAGTTTTCTTTGCATGTCCTTCACCTTCTCTTGTTCCATATCCCGTGATGACACTTAAAGTTTGATCAGTCATTTTAGAAGCGACCAAATTGGGAACAGAGTATAGTTCGACATGCGAATGGACAGTGAGTGAGTTTGGTTCTGCTCGTAGTGATATTCGACTTTTGCGCAGTCTTTGTCCAGTGGTGCCTTGTTTAGGAGTTTTGAAATGAGATAGTCTAATTCTACCACCTTTTTCACTCACTAGCTGAAATCCTTCTATGATGAGAAATACCCCTTCACCAGTGATTGGTTTACTCTTGAGGTACCATTCTGAACACATAAACATACCTTTACAATTATTTTTTTAATACAAATAAATCAAGTTTTATTAGGGCAGATGCTCCATATTAGACTTTACTTTTTTCTCTTACGATTTCAAGTCTTGTGAAGCATTAAGTTCCTTAAATTTAGATAAAACATAAACATTAAAGAATGCAAGAGATTTAAATAATGTCTTAAAATGAAAAGAGATGTAGCAGGTTAACGTGTCATTCATTTCTAAATGCATTTAGTAGTCACTGCTGTGGGTATTAGGAAAAGTCATTAAAGGCTTTATGAGCTAAATGGTGGAGTTAAGAGTTTGAACCAGCGCCCATCCTAATTCCACTGTGCACTCTTAACTGGTAGTGAGGGGTGTGAGGTACCGTGAGGCATACACATGCTGGGAAGCTAGTGCAGTGGTGCAGTTGGGAAGTGACGAGGCTCTAGGTGAGGTCTCAGGCAGGATGTAGGCTGCTAGTCACTTTTAAACAATTCGGTCTGAGGGTTTTTTGGTTTTTTTTTAAGATTTTATTTATTTGTCAGAGAGAGAGTTGGACAAGCAGGGGGGCTGCAGGCAGAGGGAGAAGCAAGCTCCCTGCTGAGCAGGGAGCCCGATGCGGGGCTCGATCCCAGCACCCTGGGATCATGACCTGAGCCGAAGGCAGACGCTTAACCAGCTGAGCCACCCAGACGCCCCGGGTCTGAGTTTTTTAAAAGGGCAGAGGGGACTGACCTCTAAGGCTAGGTATGCTAGCAAAGAGGCAAATACTTGACGTTGCTCCAGAAGTTGGAACCAACAAATTTATGTGAATACAGTATGAATATCCAAAAATTGTGTACGTATTTGTGGCAAAGAGTTTTGCTTTGCTTTAAATTTCATAGCGAGGATGCAGATCTCCTGCTTGAGTCTCCAGACCTGGACCCTTTCATTATGCACCTGATAATAGGACTGCTTTCATTTAGGAGGATTTGCATCAAGATACACTCCAGTAGAGTGGATGAATCTGTAAGAGTAAATTCAATTTAAGAGGCTTGGGGGAGGGGTGGCCATTAAATTCAATTTAAAAAGGCTTGGGGGAGGGGTGGCCCGCCAAGGGTGAGGGCTACTGAATTACCTGAGCTCATTGATGTAAGCAGGAGGCCTCACATCTTGTTTACAGTCTGCTAGGAGGCAGCGAGCAGCAATTCTTAAGAACCATATCCATCTCTGCAGCTGCTAGGCTGGGAACTGGTTAATAATAGATCCTAAGACACAAAAGGGGTTTTCATCCTTCATTATGAAATCATCCATTTTTCACTGGCTGTTGGGGTTTGTTTTTGCTGGCATGCATAAGAGGGTATTAGCACCATTGATTTGAGCAGCCTGGTATTAAATTGTGTTCACAGATTATAATACATACTGTGATGTAGGAAAAATAAAATTTGAAGTCAGAGCCTTATGTTGGGTTAATGACGATACTCACGTGTTGTCATGAGACCCAGAACAGTCTGTCTTCAACGGAGCAAGGGAGCACAAGAACGACACAGTATTGTTTTTATAATTGTACGGGAAGCTTTCCTAGTATAACCCACAGAGCATGGGTACGGCAAACTGCAGGACTGCGGTCGTGGAGGTGGGGCTGGGGCTGGGGAGTTGTCATACTGAAACACAGGAGGGAACCTGGAACCAGAGACTTCTGCAGCTTTTTCGGGTAGAGTGCAGTCTGGAACTTGTTCACTTTCCTACCCAAAACAGAGTGGTCCAGAAAAGACCTTGCCTCCAACCAAAGCTCTCTGAACCCTTAAGCCAAATTTGGATAGTAGGTGCCTGAAGCAGGTTGTTGAAGATCTGGGTACTAGCTGGGCAGTGATTCCAAAGCCTATGAAATGCAGCTGAATGTTGAGCAGACTGAATATTTTGTCTTGTGGGGAAGCAGTTGGCTTGATGTCAAGTGCCCAACGTGAACTAGCCCAGAACACTGAAGGAAAGGGAAGGATAACACACTAGTGTCACAACAGGAGAAGAGAGAGGCCAAACAGGATTAAGATGGACATTTCCTTTGCCTTAGGCTGAAGATTCGCTTATTTCCTAATGAAGAATTGAAGCGAATACAAACTAATAGTCTTCATATATAAAAAGTGCTTAGAAAACAATGGGCAGCCTCTGGGGAGGGGTGCAAGGCCCTAATATAGGCATTTCTCTAGAGGAGACATGCAAATGGTAAATAAAGATGGAAAAAAATTGACTTTAATAATTAAATCAATTTAGAATAAAAATAGTTTGCCATTTTGAAACTAGCAGTTTTTTTTTTAAGCGGTAATACACATCGCAGGTGGACGTGTTGAGAAATGGGTTCTTATTTTATTCATGGAAATAAAAGAATGCTCTAAAAATAGAGCGTTTTTGCTGGATGATCCATCAGCTGCTTTGGAAAACGTACATGCTTTTCACCCACGGATTCCCCTATGTAAGATTGACCCTAAAAATGAATTAAGGATGTGCAGGAGGACCTAAGTCCAAAGATGCTCACTGCCATCCATAATGGTGAAAATTTAGAAGCAACCTCAGTGCCCAGTAAAAAGTGATACTTTAAATAAACTGATCCGTTCCGCACAGTGGCACACTGAATTCGATGGTATGGAACCATACTTGCTGAAAAAGAAACATTTTCACAATCAGTTGTCAAGTGAAATTATGGGTACTAAATAGTATGTGTGCTATAATCCATTTTAAAACAGAGTTTGGAAGGATAAAAACAAAGATATGAATGGTGGTTGGTTCTAGTTTTTCTTTTTGCCTGTCTTGTTTTTTCTTGATTTTTTTTCTGTAATGAACATAAGGAAAAATGTTTAACGCTCATATATCATGTGAACTTTTGGTGAATTGCACAGCACTCTTAAGCAAGCTTGGCTGCTCAGAAGGGGCCGTACATATTGTTCCAGAAATGTCAGGGGTTTATGTATTTGAGTTAGAAGTGCCAGTTGGCTCTCATCGACTTAGGACCATGGCATCTGGTTTTAATTCTATCAAATGGCATCTTTCATAGGTAAGGAAAATAAATTCCAGCCATTCTGGGGCCAGGGGAGAGGAAGGAGCAGGGGAGGGATTTGAGGAATATTATGTTTTATTTTTTACTAGTTTATATTTAAAGTAACCTTGGGATTCATTTGGACCCCTTGTTTTGTTTTCTAGGCCAAACACCAGAGCACCCTAGAAAGCCGAACTAAAAGAATGCTCATGTTTGATCCAGTCCCTGTCAAGCAAGAGGCCATGGACCCCGTGTCAGTGGTAAGTTTTCCAAAATGGAGCACCTCTTCCCAGTGCCAGTAACATGACTGTGTGTTGTGTTGCTCCTTAAAGTTACTCATCACTTGACAGGCATTTGGCAAACAGACTTTTCTCACAGCTCGGTCAGTAAGTGGGGTAAACACCCTTCTAGCAACTGCATCCTTTAATAAATGGGGTCCACGTTTCCTCAGGCCCCATGCCCCCCAAGATGTAATCAGCACAGAATTTGGGTCGCAGGTGAATCTAGTCATGACAGAAGGAGGCTCTGCAAAAACTCCTCAGTGACCAGCATTTTAGTTTGGGCTCTCAGGGATTATTGGTTTCAGCCAAAAAAAAGTCTGGCCAGGCTGACTTAAATTAATGTGTGCATCTGGGGACATTTAAAAAAAAAAAAAAGTCCTGTACTCAATGTTGATCATGGTTAGGAAGTAATTTTCAGACGTACTTTTACAAGAAATCTGCATCCAGGAGTATGATCCTGTGACGTGTTTTTTACTAAAGATCACCACCACGATCATATAGAAGAGTTTCTTAAAAATGTTGTGAATGTCTTTTTCTTTTTAATACTGGAAGAAAAAATACCTCGTTTTGTCTCCTGTAGTGTTCAGCATGTCCTTCATGGAGCTGATTTAAAAAAAAAACAAAAACAAAAACCCTCAGTCCTGCATCTAAAAACGTATTCAGAATAAAATGATTTGCTTAAAACCCGCTGACAGCGGCTACACTGAGCTGTGCCTGGGTGAGATGGTTGAGGAGAAGCTAGCGAAAGAGAACGTGGCCGTGAGGTTGGGATTCCTTTCCACTTGGAGGAGTCTGTGGCTGGAAGGGAACCTTGTCTTCTTCAAAACCTTTGTGCGAAGCCAGCCCCTCCATGAGCCCGGCCCCTCGGGATGCTTCTGGGCCCCAGGCGGCTAGGAGTGAGTCCAGGGGCTTATCAAGGTCCAGCACTGGTGCTGTGGAAGCGGGACGGGGTGGTAACAGAAAGGGTCCAGGGACTTCCAGGCAGGGAGTGGTTTGGACTCATGGCCATCTGGTTGGGCCAATAGGAAATAACAAGGCAAGGCTCCCACTCTGTCTTGCTCTTTTCTTCCACGGACTTGGAAAATAGTCACAAGGGGAAAAACTTGGCCGGGAGTTGTGTATCTGAAGGTTGGTAATGACACGCTTGCAAAATTAGATCATCCTTATGCATAGGCCGCTGAGGCTCCTGCCAAAAATGTTTATACAAGACACAGGGGTCACTCAGAGGCCCTTGGAGCTGAGTTGCCATGGGTATGACTGAGCCAGTGAAGTGTTTACTGCTGTGTACAATGAAAAGTGAGGTCCAAGTGGCTTTAAGGAAATAACATTTACATTCCAGCGTGATAACTGGATAACCAAGTGTCTGAATACGGTAATAATTGAGCAATAAGAACTTCATTAATCAAAAAACTAAATCGACTTCTAATGTTATTCGGTGCTGTCACCATATTCATCAGCCCCTTACCCCAAACTGTTGTATGAGCACTGAGGAAAATTGAGGTATAAAATTTCCCTATTAATTATATCCTTGAAATATGAATAGGTTTTTAGTACTAGAGAATATGATTAATTTTATAAATGATGCAGAACCATCCTTGATGCATTTTAATATTCAGTATACTTCCAGTGCTTTTAATCAAGCATGAAAATATGGCTGAAGAGCCAATTTAAAGCTCAAATGAAGATCCTCATTGCTAAGTTGGTATGATATAATTAAGTGCAAGCAAATGCACTTGACTGAAAAAAAAATGAAGTAAAAGGAATTTGAAGTAACATACTTACAATGCTGTAACATATAAATGCATGAAGTTAAAATATATAGAAGTATTTTTGCAATTAACGGTCTTTTTCTCCTTTCCACTCTAGTTTTCAACTTCCAGCTAACACTTAGAGAATTTAATTAGATCATTTCACCAAAAGTTAGTATCAATCCTTACAATGAAATTTCTTCTCAATTCAGCAAAACCTCAGTTAACTGAAACATTTGGGGAGTGTGGGTGTTGCGATTATTTTACTTAACAAAACTCAAAAAGTTTTGTTTCCGCTCTTGAACCTTCAAATTTTCTTTCCTGCCTCTGTAAGTGGAGTGTGCTAAGTCTAATTTATTATTCCTTTATTCCACCTTTTTTTTTTTTTAATTCCACCCTTGACCTGAAGGTTGATTACCTATTTGGTTTTTGCTATAGTTTAGAGAAAATAAGAAAGTGTCATTTCTTTCTTAGTGAAATGTAAGCCTCAGTACCCTCCTCTGCTAAACCTTGTGCTTTGAGGCAAACAGGAAGGCTTTGGATTGTCCTATGAACATTTGCAAGAATGTGGAGCAGAGACCATCCCCTCCCCGCACTGTAGGTCTCTCCTACTTCCTATCAGTGTGATGCTGGCAAACCCCCAGCGGCTCCCTGAGCCTCTTTTTTTCTTTCTGTAAAATTAGAGATAATATGTACAATGTGAGACAGCATATGAATACAAAATGCATATGTAAAAGAGTTGCTTTTACCAATATATTGTCAAAGACAGTTGGAAATTAAAGAATTTAATTCAGGAAGTGAGAAATAAAACAAAGTTTTGAAAAGTATTCTTATTTTATTCCTAGAGGAAGATTACTTTTGAAAAAAGTGTATTTTTCCCCCTTCCTTTCTTGTAATGAAAATTATCCTCTAACAGACTCCTTACAGGTTGAGAAGTACTTAAAATCAGTAGTACCTCTGTTCTGTTCTCACAGAAACTTTCATGACTTTTCTGAGCCTGGTAGAAGGAGAGCTTTCTACTTTTGTTTGCACAGAAGGGTATGACATTTGCTGTTTCCAGAGTGTGTGTTTATAAACGCACCACGCCTTCCTGCACTGGGAACCCCACCCTTGGTATGAAGATTCCTTTGACTTGCCTTTGCCCTGTCATGGATGTTCACTCTGTTTTCATATTAAAGAGCAGTGAAACAGAGACTCTACTACCCATGTTTCGTGCAGTCACTCCATCCGCTTCAACTGTCTTGTGATGGAAAACTCAAACTATTCCCAATAAAACAAGAAACGATTGAAATGCTCACTTAAGTACAAAGTGGTAGCTTTGGAAAATCATCCAAACCCCCGTACCTTCTTCCCTGTCACAATTGAAATCCTTGTTTTCGAGGATCAAAAGAATTGGTACTATCCTTAGTCTTTTTTTTTTTTTTTTTTAAAGATTTTATTTATTTATTCATGAGAGACAGAGGAGGAGAGAGAGAGAGAGAGAAGCAGAGGGAGAAGCAGGCTCCCAAGGAGCAGGGAGCCCGATGCGGGACTCGATCCCAGGACCCTGGGATCATGACCTGAGCCGAAGGCAGACGCTTAACCATCTGAGCCACCCAGGCGCCCGGTACTATCCTTAGTCTTGACAGTAGTAAAAACCTGCACAGAGTGTACATTGATTCACTTCATTCATTCATCACGTGTTTGTCGATGAATGCCAGACCCACATTTCCCATTCTAGTAAGAGGAAGCAGTCAGCAAATAAATTACACAGGGTGAACACATGAATGTGTGGCACAACAGGAGAGAACTTTTTGAAAAGTTAGAGCCCTTTACCACCCCTACTGAGGGCCGGAAGATCGGAGAGACCCTTGCTGGAGTCTTGTCTTCAGGCTGCTCTGTTCCAGGATATAAGGCCTCCCTGGGTAAGCGATGTGCACAGGGGGAGTGGATAGCTATCCGTGGCTAGAGGACCTTTGGCTGCCTCCTCAACATTTGCCTCTGATTTGGATTTGGGGCTACTGCAGCACTTTTTTGCACTGCTTTGCTAGAAGATAGGAAAGGTTGAACAGGGAGCCGGCAGTTATTACCAGGGTGTACTCAGCTAAGGCACATACCCAGAGGAATCCTGTATCTGTCCTTAGGCTGTGGAGAACAGGATTGTTGGAAGCTTGATTGTAGTAGCTTGGGTGCTCCACCCAAATAATGAAAGCAAACACATCTTACAGAAGGGTCTGGTAAACATTGCTATGGAATTTTCTAGTGAGATGGTGTGAGGAACCACATTTCTTCACCGTTTTACACAAGGCGGTCAGACTGGAAATAGTTAATTGTGTACTCTGTTGTGTATCCAAATGCATCTCCCGACTTTTAGCCCCGTAGCCTTGCAAACAACTGCACATCGGTGCAGGGGGGACGGGGGGCATCCACTGGGGAGCAGAGTCAGCAGGAATGTGCATGATGTTTATAAAACTTGGCCTGATGTGTGGCTTTCTCTTCCTTGATGGCTTGAGAAACCTAAGAATATTATTAAACTTGCAAATCTCCCAGGTTCTAAATTCCTACTTTCCTTAAACTCACCCCACAGTTAGAAAAATCCAGCAATGACGGCAATAAAATTGTGTCCTCGTTTTGCTTTCTATTTAGCTGCCAATAACTTGGCATTAAAATCTAGGTCATAGGGAGGTCTTTGAAGAATAGGGCTGAAAATAAGGGAGAAGCTACATTTTGATGAGTAGAAACAATTAATGCTGCCTCCCATTTCCTAACTTTTTGTTTCTAGTACCAGAACTTTTGCCCTTTTGAGAATCGTATAAAGTGAGTTAACCTTTAGAACTAGGAGCAATCTTTCTCCCCCTGTATTTAATGACTTCTTTAAACATTTGTTGTATATATTAAAATTTTTTTTTTTTTGGTTAGCAAATCACTGCCTCTTAACATTACCTATTTTAATTTTTAAATGTAAATATATTTAATATTAATATGGCTGTATGTTTTGGGCCTCTCACCCTGTGGTATACTTATATGTTCCTGGTTCTAAAGAAAGGTAGTATTAATCTTTTCCTCCTTTGATTCTTGATACAAAACTCAAAGCTGTTTTCAGAAACAATTTATAGGGGCGCCTGAATGGCTTACTCGGTTAAGCATCCGACTCTTGGTTTTGGCCCAGGTCATGATCTCAGGGTCATGGGATCGAGCCCCATGTCAGGCTCCACGCTCAGCATGGAGTCTCCTAGGGATTGTCTCCCTCTCCCTCCCCTTCTCCCACCCCAGCCCCGCTCATGTGCACACGTGGGCTCTCTCTCTTTAAACAAATTAAATCTTTTACAAACCACAATTTATATAATTTTGCATTTCCTGATTTTATATCCTTCACGTCCTTGTTTTTAAGCAGTATTATTAGTGAAAACTTCTTCCCCCACCTTTAAATTGTTTTTGAATGGTTTACCAAATTTTAATACTAAAAATTAGTATTTTTATTCTATACTATATCTCTTTGTCATTTAGAGCCGTGCTATTCAAAAGGGGTCTGTGCACGTAGGGCCGCTCCCCAGAAACTCAGAATCTGCATTTTGACAAGATGGGTCAGGTGCATTCGTGCACAGTGAAGTTTGAGAAGCCCTGATTGGATCAAACCCATTACAGTGCTGCTACTTGTCTAGAAAAAGAAGGGACTTCTAGCACCACAGTGTATGTTAAGCTCATTACATAGCTTATCTCATTGAATTCAATTTTAATTTTAACTTCACAGCCTCCTAGAATGTGGGTTTTCAATATCACCTTGACAAATTTTGCCCTATCTTCATGGCACCTGCACTTCTAATATTTAGTGAATAATTTTTCCTGCCCTCTTTTGTAGAATTGCTTTTATTAACATAATAAATTTATTTTGAAAAGGACATTTGTATCACTACTGTTAAAAAAAAAGTTTTTCTTACGCATTTAAATAAACACATAACTATTTTAAAGCACTGTGTATTCTTTGTGTACTATCTAGAAGTATCTTCGGTGCCCCCTACTGCAGGAGTCACTATTCTAGGAGATTATAGAGATTGCGTTGACAGGGATAAAGAAAGGAGAAAAGAACAAAACACACAATCTTAACGATGAGAAACGGACTTCAAAAGCAGATAAAGATAAATACTGCCTGGTCCCATACCCCCCATATTCCCTGATACTTCTGCCTGGTATGCCCAGAGAAGGGAGTTTTTAAAACAACACAGGAGATGCATAGCCAGGTGGAGATTTCACCTAGTGGAGGCCCAGAGAAGGAAGGGTATGATCTCCGTAGTAATCCCAGTAAAAACCACCGTTGTCCCACAGTCATTTATAACTCACAATAGTGGCCACTTGGGGGACTGGGGTGGCTCAGAAATTTATCATGCATTTAAGCTCTTTACTGATAAGGCCCCATTGGTGGGTTTTCTTGGTTGTATCATGAGCTAGTATTGCCTCAGAATGAGAACTGCATCGGATTTGAGTGCTGGAAGAGAGGCATAGTATGTTGCTTATCACTTTCAGTATAAAGTATTCAAATACAAGTAGTATTCTGCAGATGGACTTGACATGTTACCACTAAAAGTTTCATTTTCCCTAAAATACCTACGAGTAAAGAAAATAGCTTATGTTGGGTTTGTTTTTTTAAAAAGCATCCTACAACAAAGTTTTTTTTTTCCAATTTTAGTTAAGGAATAGAAGTCATTCTAGTGAGTTCCATAGCCAAGGACCGCACCCATAGTGTGCAGTGATTATGACTTTTGTATTTAAAGCTGGTAGTAGTCCATTATTCTGGTACTACAAAAGAGGAAAGTATTTTTTTAAAAGATTTTATTTATTTGAGAGAGAATGAGATAGAGCACTAGAGGGGGGAGTCGGAGGAGCAGACTCCCCGCTGAGCAGGGAGCCCGATGCATGACTCGGACTCGATCCCGGGACTCCAGGATCATGACCTGAGCCGAAGGCAGTCGCTTGACGAACTGAGCCACCCAGGCTCCCAAGAGGAACGTATTTAAAGAAATTAGGTCAATTGTCAGATCTTAGGTTTGGAGGAAACACCGGGCCCCAGTTTGTGTGCAAGTCGCTTCAAGCACCCTGTGTCCTTATTTGAGTCCTCCTAGCTGTCTCTTATAGTTCTGTGTCATGCACAAATTTGGACATCAAGTCACCTTCTACAGTTTCATTCAAACTGTGACCAAGACCATTGAACAAGCTGGGGTCAGGGACAAAATTGTGCTATAGTGGGTGGCCTTCTGTGTATAGGTGAGCAGGATGACTGACCGTCCTGGTTGTCTAAGACTGAGGCATCCTGGGATGTAAGGCTTTAGTGCTAAAACCAGACTGGGGCAAACCAGGACTGGTGGTCCGGTCACCCTAGGCACGGATTGGTCAGCAGCTGAAGCCCCGCCCCCGCCCCCCCCCCCCCAGTGTACTGCTGCGCAGCTCCATTTCTCTGTATTCTACGCAAGCGTATGGTGAGAACTGCACACATCCTGCTGCTGAGGGGAAAGATTTCATGCCGGATGAGAAGCCCCATCCACAAAGCATCAGGGTTCATTGGCTTGGCTGGCTGTTGGTGAACCCCGACACTGACTCCTACCAATCAAGGCCCATACTAAGTCTTCTGTTTATGACCTGTTTTATTTAGAATTTTTGCCCGCTATCAACCTCAACCTTAACGTTTGACGTAGGAATCATCTTAGAATTCAATTTGAGATTTTTCATGGGACACAGTTACCTTAACGTTTATTAGACCAGCCCCCTCGTAGCATTTTTTTTAGGGTCAGTAGACATCTAAATGTAAGCCACTTATTGAGCCCACCTAATTGAGAGGGCCTTGTAGTACATTTTCATTTTCATTCACGTTTCCCAAGGGAATGCACCTGTGTCACGGCTTGGACATTTCTGTTTTTCCTTCCCGATAGTCATACCCATCCAATTACATGGAGTCGATGAAGCCCAACAAGTACGGCGTCATCTACTCCACACCGTTACCGGATAAGTTCTTCCAGACCCCGGAGGGCCTGTCGCACGGGATGCAGATGGAGCCGGTGGACCTGACCGTGAACAAGCGCAGTTCCCCGCCCTCTGCGGGCAATTCTCCTTCCTCGCTGAAGTTCCAGCCCTCGCACCGGAGAGCCTCGCCCGGCCTGAGCATGCCCTCTTCCAGCCCGCCCATGAAGAAGTACTCGCCGCCTCCCCCGGGCGTGCAGCCCTTCGGCGTGCCGCTGTCCATGCCCCCGGTGATGGCCGCCGCCCTGTCCCGCCATGGCATCCGCAGCCCCGGGATACTGCCCGTCATCCAGCCCGTTGTGGTGCAGCCGGTCCCTTTCATGTACACCAGCCACCTCCAGCAGCCGCTCATGGTCTCCTTGTCGGAGGAGATTGAGAACTCAAACAGCAGCATGCAAGGTAAACGCCACGGCCGACAGCGCGGCTGTTAGGGTGCGGCGGCGCTTGGGGTCTGCACCAGCGGGCGGTGCTTAGCGCTCCGGGCCAGCTTCGTATGCATGCTGCTTGCTGGCAGAGTAGTGGTCGGGGGAAACGAGAGCGCCCCCTCCCCCCCAGATTTGCTTTCTGCTATAATTTTGCCAAAGGCAAACAGATACTCCACACATCAGTGTTGTAGATAGAAACTGTGCCATAAACTTCTGTAAAAGCTGAAATTGGTAAATTGTGCGTGGAGTGACTTTTCTATTTTTATTTTTTTAGTACCTGTAATTGAATCATATGAGAAGCCTATATTACAGAAAAAAATTAAAATAGAACCTGGGATTGAACCACAGAGGACAGATTATTATCCTGAAGAAATGTCACCCCCTTTAATGAACTCAGTGTCCCCCCCGCAAGCACTGTTGCAAGAGTAAGTATGTTCAGATCTATCCGACATTTGCGTAGCAGCGCAGATCTTGGGACCTGGATTGGAAGCACACACTTCCAACTCATGGTGTGGTGTGGATTGCCGGGAACACCTTGCAGTAGGTGGCAGCCCCTGGGAAAGATGGGGAAATCTCTCCAAAGGCAATGTGTTCTGCTGTATCAACTGCATTATGACATCTATGTCAAGTTGGCAGCAAATTGATCACTCAGGATTTGCCACTTATCACATAAATTGTTTTTATCTCAGTGTTTTTTGGGTGTTCTTTTGGGTGTTTTATCCTTCCAGACTATACATAGTTTTCCCATAATCTTAATCCCAATATGGATTGAATTTGGTATTCTAGATATTCTTCATAAGGTTGGATCCTTAAAACTTTGTAAGACACACCTTGTCCTTCCAGTTGTCACCTCTAATACTGTTTCTGTGGTGGGGAATGTCTTGAATCAGAATTTTCAGGCCAGCCATGAGCCCAAGGAAGTCAGTCCAAGAAAGACCTGTAAATAGTGGTGGGCAACAGAAAGTGGTCCATGTAGCTCAGAGAAGTTCAGTGTTGGAATAACCCATTATTCTCTGGTCTCTTTCATTACATCTGCCCTTAGAATATTCAGTTCGCTTTAGAACTGCCATCCAGGAGGAAGGTTTCTGTATTGATCTACATCCAAACACTGGACAGTGGTGTGTTTTAGGTCTGACTTGCCATAATGTGACAGGTGTCATACACAAGTTAAATAGCATCACTGATGGGATTTGCTACAACAGATAGCCTTGCTTTCTGCTGGAGGCTGTGTTTGGAGGAGCTCAGAAGGTGACCTTTGGGTCAGACATCTTGGATCCCAGCTCTGCTCTCCACCCTAAGTATGACCTTGGCCTAGTCAATCTTGCTGCCTCTGTGTCCTCTTTATTTTCATTATCGGTTGTCATTATTTTTCTTGTAATGGTCTTGTGTTGTGGCACTTTCAAGGTTGGCTGCGATGGCCAGCTTCCTGGTATAAGGTAATAGTTACTGTCCCCTCCAGGTCTCTTCCATCATCTTTCTCCCATAGCACTTTGTTCCAACTTGAAACAGAGTTCTGCCCACCTTTCTGCTTCATCTTTTCCCCCCTCCCTTACCCAAGTCATTCTGCAACAGAGTGTGCATTCTCTGGCTTTCGAACCACTATTTTCTGGAACTTAAAATACATTCTAGTTCTATCCACATTCAACCCAAGTGGGTGCCTTCATAGTAGGTCATGTTAAGTGCCCATTGCACCAAGTCCAAGTCAGGTGTTTGGGGGGAGGGGTTGTCTTTGCTCCCGGAGAGATGAAGAAGAGAAAGAATCCTATGAGCAGCCACATCAGCAGGGAGAGAGTGTCGGATGAACTCACACATTATTACCTTTCACAGTTGCATAATGTGCCCCCCCAACCCCCAGTGAGACTTTCTCACATGTTTTCAAAGGAATTATTTCATTCCCCCACAACAAGCATGAGGGAGTCGGAGCAAATGGAGGCGGGTGAGCCAAGACATTAGATAACTCGCCTAGCAGCGGGGCCCAGGCTTGATCCCCTGCCACCCGATGAGGGCTCTTCCTGCCACATCCCTGTCTGACCAGTGCCTCCCACTCCTCTCTCGGGTGAAAGGAGATGCAAAAAGACCAGCCAAAATAGACACATCTTGTAGGCTGAGTTCCCCCCTTTTTTTTTTATGATGCCGGGTGTCTCTGGCAAGGTGACTGGCAACATGACTTGCACTTGTCATTGTTCCTGCTCAGCTGATGGATGAGATGCTGTGCAGCTAAATAAAGCCAAGTGCCTGCAGAGAGAGGGATGATCCCTGGACCGAAAAAGGGTTATTCCAAAGTCGAGGTTATTATGAATTACAATATAAACCACGATAGAAGAAGAATATTTGAAAGCAATATTCTGTGTCCTAAATGCTGCCGAAAAGAAAATGCTTTTTGCTTACCTTAAGTGATGTTCTTTTGGTAATCTCAAGCTCAGTGGCTTTTAATGATTAATGAATAATAGGCTCATTTTAATGCTGACCTAAGAGTGCATTTTGCTTCTCAAAAAATTCAACAGATTAGCCACAACTGGGACATGTACTCTTTTAAGTAATTCTCTCCCAGATGTGATTAAGTAATGTCTTGGAATGTGCCCAGTAGCAGCCCACATAGGAAACCAGCTAGCCAGGAAAGAAAATTTCGATTGAAACCAAGCACCTAGTACCATTGCAATGAGGCAGTCCTGATATTCGCCTTCCGGAAACCCTTCCTTTCCAAAGGCGGACTTTAAAATACAGCTTTGAAATCCATTTGCTTGAACATAAGAGTTACAGCTTTAGGATTATTTTTAAAGGCACTCAGATGTCTATCAGATTCCTCCTTTTTTTTTGTATTTACACATGTGAAATGTATTTAGAGCAAAGAGCTTGAGAATCAGCTCTCCCCATTTAATTATGTCTGTGAATTATAGTAAACTTAACGAAGGGCTGGCTTAACTCAAAACAGTGACCAGGTATCTGATATTTAATAGCTGTTCTAACTTCTTGGTTGTAATGATCCCAAACAGCCTCTCTGAAAATGAGCAGTGGAGAGTTCAGAAAGGGGGAGATCTTGGGACCCCGCCATCCAGCTGCTGCCTGTGCCAGCATCTGGCTCCTTAGAGATGGGGCCGCCAACCACTCTCAGAATGATGCTACCTTTCAAGATAGACATTCGCTTGAGCAGTGATTTCCTTTCCTGGTGTTGGGACACCCCCCAAAAAGCTCCTCATGAAATTAAACAGCTGTAGGGGCAAAGTTTGCAAATGGGCTTCTGAACCTCAAAATATTGACAGCTACCATTTAGTAGATTGACATCTGGAACAGATGTTATACTGCAGTGCTCTGTGTACATTACTCACAACCTCCTGAGGTCGTATATTACCATCATCCCCATTGTACAGAGGAGATGGAGGCACAGAGAGGATAAATCCCTTGCCCAGGGTCCCAGGGACCTCGAGTGACAGAGCTGGGATTTGACGTTGGAGCACAGAGCCTTTTAACGTACCTTTATATGCAAAAGGGGTGGGAAAAGCAGTCATAACTACTGCACGGAAACTTACTAGATTCCCAACCCATGAAGTCTGTTAATTGGGAGAGATTCCTAAAATCACCTGGGATACTCCCCCAGTATCCCAGAGGCAGAGGAAATGTATTTAACCATTCGGTTTTTTTTCCCCTCAGCATTTTATTTCCTGAAGTTCTCTTAATAAGGATGAAACATTTCAATCAATGGCATTAAGGTTGAAAATTAAAAATAAACTGAGAACTCTTTTCTTTCTGTGGAAAGATTTTTAAATGAATAATTGAGCTCTCTAAAAACTGTATGTGTCCACAGATCGTCACTTTTCTATTTTCTCTCTGTTTGTACATCTATATAATTGAAGTCCTTGTTCCCACCCTTCATGTTCACTTTTCCATCTAAACTTGGCTACTTTTTTCTTCTGTATTGCCCCCGCTTAACATTAAGGTAGGAAGGTAAAGTGAGACTCAAAACTGCCATTTTCCTTTGCTGATAATAGAAGTGAGAAATAAGTACACTTAAAATCAATGCACCTTTTATTCCTTTCCTAGTTAGTTAGCGTGCCTTGGAAGAGTTCCTGATGGGGGACATGTATTGAGATTTTTACCAAGATCAAAACACGTTTCATTTCAGGGGCCCCCCTTTTGATTTTTATGGTGAAATTTTATTATCCTTTTTTATCTCCTAAGCTTGAATGTTTGCCTTCATCAGATTCCCTTTCTCCTCATCCATACTTGTACAGAAAAATTCGTATATTATTTGGAACATTGTAAGAACTTTAGATTCCAATTTAAAAGACAAAGAAGTCTTTCATTACCGTCAGAGGCCAGTTCCATAAGCTTGTGATGTATCAAGTAATTAGTCGTTAGGAAAGCAAATGAACAGATCAGAGTTTTTTAATTACTGACATTAATCAGCAGAGGAAGCCCGAGAAAGCTTTACAGACTTTCCCCAGCTCTTCCCCCCATCTGCCTCTTCTCTCCTTCTGAAAACGAGAAAGTTTAGAGCAACGGTGTTTGACATGATTGGATTTCAGAGCCACCCTGGAAAGGTGTGCCGACGCAGGAACGGGTCTGGGTGAGCGGGCAGGAAGGCAGGGAGACGCCAGGTGCCCCCGAGAGCCGGCACTGCGCCAGAATTCTCCCTCACACAGGAATAACAGCAACCGCAAAGGTTTGAGGTTTGAAAACAGCAGTGCCATTATTTGTTTGTTTATGTATTTATTTCGGAAGAGCCAGAATTTGAAGCTCAAATGTGAATTGGTGAGCTTAAGAGAAGCTCATTGCCAGTTATGTAAAGGATAAAATGTAGATAACGAGTGGGGTTGCCTGAGCTTTAGGAATTTGACCTTTTGCGTTCTTCCCTACAGAGCAATAAATGATCATCAGGGCCAGCTGTGGGAAGACATTGTAACCATATTGAGCATCGCTCTCGTACCACCCACGAGATTCTATAAGTAGGCAAATTTTAACTGAGGGCAAGAGCCTCTCCTAGCACCTGCATCTCCCTCTAGCATAGCACCTAACCCTTCTTACTGTCATTACTTATCTACATGTCTGTCTCCCCCTAGAGTGTGAGCTCCTCGAGGGCAGGAACCCTGTTTTTATTCATCTTTGTGTCCCGGTGCCAAGCACAGTGCCTGGCTCATGGTAGGTGCTCGCTCCATGTTTGTTGAATGAATATAGCAGTGCTTCTTGGGTTGATCAGCTAATTTCTTTTTGTTTATTTTGTTGGGTTTTTTTGGTTTTGTTTGGTTTTGCCTAGTGTTGTTAATGCCTTTGGTAGACTGAAGGAAAGGAAAGAGCCTCTCCCCCAATATTTTACATTTCGCGTTGGCTTTCCTAGGAATCACCCGTCGGTCATAGTGCAACCAGGAAAGAGACCTTTACCTGTGGAATCTCCGGACACCCAGAGGAAGCGCCGGATCCACAGATGTGACTATGATGGATGCAACAAGGTGTACACGAAGAGCTCTCACTTGAAAGCGCACAGAAGAACACACACAGGTATCAGGCGCGCACAGTCTTCTCATAAGAAACAAGGGAGATGGAATGTTAGGGACAAACAGTTGAGCTCTCAAAGGTGATTATAAGGACGTGGTCCAGGCACCTTGAAAGGGAGCAGAGCTGTCTACAGATCTGTCTGCCAGGCGTGAAAAACGCCCTTTTTTGGGTCAAGATTTATTTTTGTAATGAGTTAGAATGGATTCAAGGTCCCCCCCACCAGTCACGTGGAATTCTGTACTCTGTGTTGGGGGGCAGGGGAGAGGCAGGGTTGGAAAGGCTGCTGGAATGGAGGAAAAGTGCTCTTAGCCATGGGCCCGTCTCATCAAGGAGGCAGCCTTCGTGTGGACCATCATTTAGTAAATGTGGTACATTATCAAATTCACAATGGCAAAAAAAAAAAAAGAAAGAAAACCCCACAGCTCTTCACGCAGAACAAATACAGAAAAGTAAAGACACTTGGGTGATTCGTGTGTTCTAAAACGGAGGGAACTTCTCTGCTCTTGCCTGTTCTGTTTGTTCTGGGGTATTATTTATTCTGCCCAGGATTGAATACAGAACATGCAGCCAGATCTTCCAAAAATGATGATATGGGTGAAGAAAACATAAAACTGTTCCATTGGCCTTTGAACATTTCGTGAGCAAGATAGCTTCAGGACCCTGTATAGAAATGTTGTCCACAGCCTGATTCATCAGGCAGTATGGGTGATCCTTGTTGACAGCAGGCTCATCTGACCTAACCTCAAACCCTTCGATGTGAAATTCTAGTATAACAGCAGTCGTTCCCTGGGTCCATCTTCCCTCAGTCAGAATGTCATTTGTTTGTTTGTTTGTTTGTTTGTTTTTGAGCCTTATGAGTCATTCGTATCAGGAATGTTTACAACAAGGAAAATCTGGGATTTGGAAGAGAGAAGGGAAGGAAAGTGGTGGTGTGGAGTGTCAAGTTTCTCAGTGACTTGGGGAGAGGGAAAGTCAGCTTGCGGACAGCTGAGCTCTTGGGCTTGGTCACAGTGTTCTTGACCAAGGACTGAGGAGAAGCACCTTGTGTTTAGAGGAACGTCCAGTCTGAGATGCCAAGGAAACCAGTAAAAGCATCCCCAGGGCGTTAATGCGACCTGAGAGGTGGATGTTACCAACTTCCAGCCCAAGATTACAAGGACATTGACTATTTGAATAACAATTTGGATGTAGGAAAAATACCTCAGCATTTATATTCTCTGAAGCAGAGCAGATAAGACAATTCTGAAGAGCTCCTCGAAATGTCAATCCTTAAAATTTCTAGAGAACAAGGGGTAGTAAGTGGGAATTGATTTGTGAGGCCCATTTGCCCACGATGACTCATATAAACATGTAAGATTACCACTAACAGCCTTTTTATTTGTAAGGGCCTTCATGCCGGCTCTCCCTATGATTTCCCCCCAAGGGTCTCCTATTCCTCACCTGCCAGCTACCATTATCCCACAGCAGGGGGTTGGAGAGACCTGGCTTCTGACAGGCTGGGGAGGAATTACTGTATTTTTAGTATGTCTCAATTAGAGCATTATACTTAGGCATAATTGCTGTTGACTAAAACAAAAGATAAGATGCTGAAGTTCCTGCCAGTGTCTGTCACACTTCTTATTTTTAGGAAACCGTTAAAATAATAAGGAAATCCCGCAAACTTTTCAATTTGGACTCCTCTTTAAGTGAAAAGCACTGCGTATAACTAAGTAGCTCAAAGACTTGGAGATAAATACAGATCACAAGTTTCTTAAGTGATTCATCCCTACTATTGAGGGCAAAACCAAAATTATTTGCTAGCTCCTCAGAATGGATTTCAGTGGCTTTATGCTTTAAGAACTCAAAATCTTCTGTTTGGGGGGGGGGGCGGAGTGGCAGAGTGCCAGTTAAATATTAAGAGAATTAAGCCACTTGTTCTCTTTTTTGTCCTTCCGTGGTTTCTATGGCACTCTTGGTTTTGGGGGGAACAAACGAATGGACATACCTTGGAAATAATATTTGCCCAGAGTTGTAGCTCAAAAATCTTAACTGCACTATTTTTACTAATGAATAATAGCCTTTCGCCCTCAGGAAAAATATAAGCTCTTCCATTTTTCCTTTTTGCAGGAGAAAAACCCTACAAATGTACATGGGAAGGATGCACATGGAAGTTTGCTCGGTCTGATGAACTGACAAGACATTTCCGAAAACATACTGGAATTAAACCTTTCCAGTGTCCAGACTGTGACCGCAGCTTCTCCCGCTCTGACCACCTTGCCCTCCATAGGAAACGCCACATGCTAGTTTGAATGGCTCCGTCCCCCGCCTCAGCGTGGCTCCCCACTCTCCCGGCTCTCTCTCTGTCCTCCTTCCCATGATCTAACTCATTTTTTACATGTACATTTTAATTTGGATTCAGCTGGTCTGAATCTCTGAATTTATATCATTCAAACTTCCATATGGTCAGTAGTAGATGTTCTCTAATTCTCCTCTCCTTACCACGGGTCAGACCTAAAGAATGTGAACACTTTTTTTTTTTTTTTTTTCCGGGGATGCTAAGCAAACCCTTCTTACAGATACGTTTAATGTAATGAGAACAAGGGAACATGTAAACTTAAAATAACCAATTGTCGGTTTCTCCATGTATTTCTCAAAAGAATGTCAAAGTAAATGTATTAGAAATACAGTATCCAGCCTGCAAGTCCTTGCCAGGGACGTTCATACCTCTGTGCCCTGTGATCGTATTTTGTGCTCGCCAGCAAGAAGGGTGGACCCTCTCCCAGGCTAGGTAGACATGCAGCGAGATTTCAGGTAGGACCGTCCATCCACTCTTCTTCCCTTCCATTGCCCTTCACGAATCCTGCTTGTCAGCTTGGATTTATCACGTCCTCTAAATTAAGTCCTTGATACTCCTTTGTGCCTGCAGCTAACAAGGAGGTCTTTGCCACCCCTGGAGCTGAGCCAGAGCTGCTGATTTAGGCGGGTGATGTCTGTCAGTGAAGGGCTGAATGCTCTCCTTGCCCAGCACGGAGTCAGAACAAAGGGGCATGGTGCAGGGGAGAAGCGGTGGGGGCGAGGGAGGAAGCCGGCCCTTCCTCCTAGGCAAGGGCTCTCGGGTGAGGTTTCATCATAGGGTTCACTGCGCAAGGCATCCCCAGAGCTTCAGTCTCTATGCTCGACTGTGCAGAAGCATACAGCAAAGCCGAAAATGGATAGAGTTATCCCTGCCCCTGTCACCATTCCTCTGATGTCCTTAACGTGGGTCAGCGACCTTTGATTGTCGGGACACCACAAAAATATTTTGCCCAGTAATGGTAAAAAAAAAAAAAAATCTTTTGGGTAAGAATATGGATGGCCTTTTACCCAACCTACTTACAGCTTTTTTTTTTTGGCAAACAGGGAAACGTTGAGGGGTAATTGTATTCCCATATCAAATTACTCATACAGCTTTTATACAGAAACTCTTCTGTGTGAACCGTAGGGTGCCAAGTGGACTGTCATTTGTGTTTGTGATGCATACCGTAAGTATCTGCTAATGCTTTAGTGGATGCATTCAATGTAAGACCTGAGTAACAAGATTTGTAAATATAACTAGTTGTGAAGCACATATACATTCGGGGGACAGATTTCTGAAAAACAAAACAAAACAACGAAAAAACAGAAGACCACAGTTCAGGGATTCATATCTTTAGAGCTCCAGAATTCCCCAACATTTACTGTTCTAAAGAGCTGGAAATCGATCGCTATCAAGTATCCCCTCAGAAGAAGCTGAAAATGACTCGTGTTTATGTCAAAGATAAATAGCGCCATCATTCGGGGGAAGTTTTGTGTTTAGTTTTTGTTTTTGTTTTTCAAAAGCTGGCTTTTGAGCACCATAGTCTAAATGCCCATAAAAATAATTCATGCGTAGAAATGTCATTGGTTCTAAATTTGAAGAAAGTGGGTGACGGTGGTCAAATGTGAGTGCATATAACCAAATGCGCCTTCATCCCTCGATAAAGGACGGAAGAGAAGAGAGAAGAATGGAATCCTGAAGATTGATCCCAGCCGCAACTCAGGATCCACCACAACCTTAACTGGGAGGAATACATTGTTCAATTGTTTTTTAAAACATCAGTGAATGAGTGATTGTGGAGGTCTGCAAATCGTGTGGGGAGCTTACTTAGATGGCGCTGTGTTAATAAAAGTTAGTCGTAGGGACTGTGCACCTAAGATAAGATATCCCACTCATCAGCCCTCTGAACCAGCTGAAAGGAAATGTAGTTGAGAAATGCAAAGTCATTTGTTACCTTCTTGGCACTTGGTTTTGATTTTCTTTCTTTCTTTCTTTCTTTTTTTTTTTTTTTTGTAAGCACTGCGAAATTTGTTTAGAATATTAAAACCTCCTAATTGGGCTTTTTTTTTTGTTTGTGTTTTTGCAACTATGACCTGAATTGAGGGATAAAAATGGCTCTTGGGAAAGTAGGTATTGTCTGTACTGTAAATGCTTAGTCACATTCATGCCAAAGCGTTTATTTCTAGAAGTGGTTCTTTTGCAACACACTGAAGAATCAAGTTGGGATGCAAGGAACTTTTTTGTTTCAATGGAGATGAGCAGTATGTGTGTGTTCCAACCCATAGAGAAGGTAGGGAAAAAAGGCAAGAAAGGGTAGAATTGATCATCTTTGAATAATTAGCTTTGAGTGTGAGTCCAGGTGATAGAAAGCTTCGTAGGTTCTCATGAAATTTGATGTGTTTGTTATGGCATATTTAAATTTTGTTCAAAAGAGCAAGCAAGACCCTGCAAAGAGTATTCCGTTACTATTCAGCTTGCCTAGGTTATGTTAACCGTTCATTAACAAAGATCCATTTTAACTCTGAAAGAAGGGCAACCCAGAGAGGCCTTTCTCTGTTCCCATTGCTGGCCTATATACTTCAGTTAACCGATTGGCTTTTGACCAAATTTTCCTTTTTTATATATATTTGTATTTTACTATGATAGTTGAGAAATTTAGTCTCTTAGACATTTTTAGCTGTTATTGTGGAAGACCTCAAATACAAGATAGATGCCCTTGAACATGTGGTTTTAATGATGTGCCATGTTACTATCAATGGTGGTTTTAAATTGTCATATTTTACATTGATGGGAATGATTTGTAAACATGAAGTTAGTGTTGTATAAATTCTGTTATAGAGTTTCTTTTGATTTTTGTCCAGGTGTCATCTTGGGGAAGTCAGAAAAATTAAGGCTGAATGCATCATATTTTAGAGTTCTAAAATGTGAATCTACATCATAAATGGGCATTAACATTCTAAATCATCTGGTATGGAGAATGTGTTAGCAGCATAGCTATGTTCAACCAAGGAAATGCTAACTACACGGAAGTTTGAAGAGCCTTGGAACAGATTTATAGGGGAACTATAGATGTATATTTTATTAAACACCCATCTGCACTATCAGTGTTGCACTAATGTGGAATTTGAAAGACTTTACTGCTGATACTGTATATCTGCACGTCATTCCTGATTAGATTGTTTTAAAGACAATCTCAAAGATCTAAGGTTTTAAAATAATTTGGTTTGAAAATATACAGTCATCTTGAAGGAATTGCTGTTATACATGAAGTTGCTCAGAGTTGTCTTTATTCTCTTCTCGGTCGAAGTTAACAATTTCTAAATGATCGCAAATTCACTTAATACATTTACAAAGCCATTTTACATGCATTAAACGAGGGCTACAACAATATTATGTTTTACAAATACTAGCACTTTTTTTTTTTGCTGTTATGTACTTAGTGTTAGAGGGTCAAAATAATCTTTCTGCTTAGCATCTCTTAAACCATACCTGCAAGTATAGCAGGATTATTACAATTTACAGTACTTTAATACTTGTATAAACTATGCAGAAATTTTTAATAAAGTGTAATATATTTTATAAGCTAATAAGACTGAATGGGTAAAGGTTTTTAGCATGCATTAGTATACTTGCAAATACTGAAACATTTTGGTAATCTTTCTTACTAAAGATGTGAATGTTTAATGTACCTTCTCTGTTTCTACTCTGTAGTCCAATGGGAATTCAGTAATGACATTTTGTCATGTCAAACTGTGAACATAAATTTGTACTGTACAGTCCTCATATACTATATACAGTATGCAATATATGTATTATATACTTGTTAATAAAACCATCAGAATATTAAGTGTGATCATGTGATTACTATATATGCAGTGATCACTAGGAGCAAAACTTAGCAATGTAACGTGTAAGAGACAGTACGTAGAAATTGCAAAGTGAATCACTGTTTGATAGGCAATTGTTGATGGAGGGAAAGAAGTAAACTGGCAGATGCAGGAAATGAGTTAACTTAGCCTTGAAGTTATGTCGCTGGGTTTTGGATAACAGCAGCCGGAAGTCTTCTAAGCCACAAACCATAGACTTGTAGACGACCCACCCTGAATCCACACACTTAACCTAAGTGCGTTCCTGGGATATTTTTTAGGACACAGACCTTCTGTCCAAAAAGGATTTTCAGTGCCTTGTATTAAAAGATACAATGTCTAATATATATATATAAATTTTTAAATAAGAGATTAGGATTCATAGCTTGGGGAGTGGGGAATCAGAAACAGGACAGCAACTGCATTAAATAATTCTGGATAAACTTTGAAGCCTGCAGTAAACCATGTCCATGGACACCGCTATGTCCTCAGTATCCTAGGAACAACAAATCGTTTCTGATGGGGACTTAAAGAGTTCTTGTTTAAAGCAAAATGTAACATCTCTCTACCCTCCCCCCTCAATGTAATTGAAACTAAGATACTAACTTGTAGATCTCACAGCAGCTACCTTGAGCCTGGACTTCATCTTAGCATAACATGAAATGCTGGCTGGCCCTTACTACATGATACCTCCACAGCTTGGAGAGGGGAAGGAGGTTGGGGAGAAGGCTGAACTCAATTTTGAAACATTCTCCAGGTTTCTCCAGGAAACTTCCCTGCTTTTACACTGAGATAGTTGACTGTAAACTCAAAAGATATAGATGACTGTTAATCCCAGTGGGATGCTGGCTTGGATTAGTCTAGGTGATTGGCTGTAATCTTCCAACTATATTTTGTATATGAGAGCTGGATTCTGCCTGGGTGAGTGATCAGAATGGTGACAAATGCAAATTTTATGAGAAACCAAATTCTTGGAGGAATGGGAAGGAAGGATGTTCAGCACACACATGCATGCACAAATCCATAATCGTTGTGCTGTCAGGGTGAAGAAGAGATTAGGAGCCTTAGTGGGGGCAAGTTACCAATTCCAGTGTGCCTAAAAGGAAAGAAGTGGCTCTGTTCAGGGAAGAACAAGTTGAGATGGTAGTAAAAACACATAGAGATGTAGAAGTTAAACTTTTAGAGACCAGAGTGACCTGTGTGTGCACAAAACGATGAATTGTTCTTCAAGGGTACATTCATTTTAAGATGTGTAAACTGAACCTGTTACCTTTTCCTATTTCTGACCCAATCATAATCATGGTGGTTGGTAATGGTTCTGTATATACACAGTGACCCCTAAATTAGAGTGATACATGCTACAAATTAGAATTCTTATTAAGTTAAATCAAGACATGTTTATTGCTTTGAGTGCTTTTCTCATTATGTCCCTCGTTTTGCATTCCCTATGGGCATCCTGAGTGGTCTGGGATAAGGATAGAAGACAGAAGCTGGATCTTTAGGTTCCTAGACCATATCTCTCACACTTCTTGACCCAGTGTATCCGTCAGGGTTCCCCAGAGAGAAAGAGAACCAGTAGAATATTATATACACAGGAAGAGATTTATTATGAGGAAATGGCTCACATGACTGTGGAGGCTGGGAAGTCCCATAATCTGCCATTTGCAAGCCAGAGACATGGAAAAACCAGTGGTGTAATTCTAATCCAAAGGCTTGAAAACCAGGGGAGCCAATGGTATAAACCCCAGTCCAAGGGCAGAAGATC